TTCTCTTCTCTTCTCTTCTCTTCTCTTCTCTTCTCTTCTCTTCTCTTCTCTTCTCTTCTATCATCCTTTTCAGCATCCTCAAAACTTTGAAGCATCACTAAATGAATGGTCATATGTTGAAGACTATCTGTATGTTTAAATAAGTAGGCAGTTAATCTGGCCTAATATCACATAGTTGCTTATGGTTTATGAGACTAAAACATACGACGGATGGTTGTGGGAACCAGGCCTGGCTAGTCCAGTGAAGAGAAGGACCAGGGGAGACATGATAGCAGTCTTCCAATATTTGAGGGGTTGCCCCAGAGAGGAGGAAGGGGTCAAGTTATTTTCCAAAGCACCTGAAGGCCAGACAAGGAATAATGGATGGAAACTGAACAAGGAGAGATTCAACCTGGAAATAAGGAGACATTTTCTGACAGTGAGAACCATCAACCCATGGAACAAAAGTTGCCTTTAAAAGTGGTGGGAGCTTCATCCTTGGAGGCTTTCAAGAAGAGACCGGACTGTCATCTGTCAGAAATGGTGTAGGGTCTCCTGCTTGGGGGGGGGGGGGGGTGGACTAGATGACCTACAAGGTCCCTTCCAACTCTGTTCATCTGTATCTGTCTTCTTGATGAATCGATGGCTTTGATTTGATTTATCCCTAAAAATATAACTCCGCCTTCCCTCTCTCCAGATGGGTGGAGTAATTCCGCCGCACATCCTCCCCTGCCGGCCCGCCTTTGGGCCGGCTGGGATAGGATGGGAATTGTAGTGCAAGATGAAGCCGGAATCCACTGGACTCGGAATTGCTTTTCACGTTGGTTCCTCTTCTGTCTTCCTCTCCTCTGCAGCACTGGAGTCCAAGGGGAAGGGGACGCATAAGAAGAAGGGGTCTTCCTTCCAGACCGTGTCGGCCTTGCACAGGGTAAGGGGAATCCAAAAACCGGTGGGACTTTCAGGGGCTTTCTTTGGAAGGGCCACCTCGCTTGTACTGTTCCCTGTGCGCTCTGGACCATCCACTTCCATCCGAGGCATCGTCTGATCCCCAGTTCAGGTGCCTTCACCAGCCCCTTGCGCCCGAGGAGAAAACCAAAAGGGCTGGAAGAAGGAGGTCTCCCCCTGGAGCGGAGCAAAGTCTAGGTGGCCGTTTCCCTGAAGGCTTTGCCAAGGCCGGTTTCAGCCTAAGTCTTGAGTTTGCCTTCAGTGGAGATTCTTGGAAAGGTTCACGCAAGGATTCTTTGTGATGCCCAGCTCTCTTTCTTTCTTTCTTTCTTTCTTTCTTTCTTTCTTTCTTTCTTTCTCTTTTAAATCCATTGGTCTTCCTCTCTTCATTTTCCTTGCTTGCTTCCATGGTTCTTTCCTTCCCTCCCTCCCTCCTTCCCTCCCTCCTTCCCTCCCTCCCTGTCTCTCTCCTTCCTTCCTTCCTCTCTCCCCTCCTTTTTTCCTCCCTCCCTCCCACTCCTACTCTCCCCTCTTCTTCCTTCCTGTCTACTTTTCTTCCTCTCCTCCTCCCTCCTTCCTTCCTTTCTCTTCTCCCTCCACCATCCCACTCTCCCCTTTTCTCCTTTCTTCCTATCTATTCTCCTTCCTCCCCCTCTTCCTTCCTTCCTTCCTTCCTTTCTTCCTCTCATCTCTTCTTCTCCCTCCCTCCTCCTTTACTCCTCTCTCCTCTTCTTCCTTCCTGTCTTCCCCCTCCCTCCCTCCTTTCCTCTTCTCCCTTCTTCCTTCTCCTCTCTTCTCCTTCCTCCCTCCCTCCTTTCTTCTCCTCCTTCCCTCTTCTCCTTCCTTCCTGTACTTTCCTCCCTCCCTCCCTCCCC